CTCGCAGCAGATCTGCTTGTTAACCAGGGTTCAAAGTCCAAAGCGCGAGGAAAATCTGCGCTGATACAGTCGTCAGCTGCTCAGTCACATTTTTATGAATTTTTACAAGGCATGTGACAATGGGATGCATACGACGTATTCGTAATGAGACTCATTTATAAATCTGTTGTCAACAAAAATAAGCATTGAGGTCTTCCTGCGTGTTTCCGCCAAAATAAAAGTTGAGAAAAACTCTTATCAACATTCATAAATGTTAGTATTGTAATTGTACTGTTCTGTAAAATAAAATAAAAAGACAATAATAATGATAATAATCATTACTACAGCTCTGTTTTAATACATTTATTATAAAAGAAGTCTCTGCTCAGCAAGGCTGCTTTTAATTGAACAGTAAAAAAAAAGAAAATACATGCCTGATTCAAGAAGAGGGGGTCTGATGGCCAAAAATTATTTTACTAACTAACAGTTAAATTGTGCTTTGTTGGTATAGTGTCTGCTAGAATGTTAAAAATGTTCAGTGTTAAATATTTTTAAATTGTTGTTTTGTAATTGATTTTTTTTCTTTGAAAAGCAAGACAAAACAGTAAAAAGCACATTTTGGATTTTTAATTTATGCAATAGTACAAAAAAATTTGGCAAAATACATGGAGTAAAAAGCACATTTTGGCTTTTTAATTTATGTAATGGTGGGAAAAAAAAAGGCAAAATACATGGGGAAAAAAAACTGTGTTCGGTATTCGGCCTTCGGGCCAGTGTTAAATTTTGTTCTGTTTCGGCTTCGGCCAAGAATTTTCATTTCGGTGCATCCCTATATAAATACATAGTAAATTAAAGATTTTAATATTAAAAACATCTAAATAATTTCGTTTTTTCAATTACAAGTTGCCTATATTTAAGTAGGTCACAACTAACCTGTAAGTCACACTTTTTTTATGCCATTGGTATAAGACAATTAATATTGACAGCATACAGACAAGTTGTCCGCTGGGCCTATGGCATTCTGAGCAGGCACATCAGGAAGCCCTTACCTGCATGTGTTGTTTCAGCCATTAGAAGATGGTTTACAGAGGAAGGAGTACTTTATAAAGGTTTTAAATGGCCCCATTTTGGTGACAATCAATAAAAAATAATCAGAAATTGTCTTACTGTATAAAAACTTATGAAGTTTAGATATCAAACAGATCTGCATTTATGGTTAATTCAATTCAGTTTTATTTATACAGCACTAAATCATAAATATTATATCATAGCACTGTTAATACCTAACTCAAAACACAACATTGCAACTGTTAATATATATACAGTGGTGTGAAAAAGTGTTGGCCCCCTTCCTGATTTCTTTTTTTTTTTTTGCATGTTTGTCACACTTTAATGTTTCAGATCATCAAACAAATTTTAATATTAGTAGTGTGTGTAGATGTACCAAAAATATACTACCGAAAGAAAAATATACCATCTGACCCATTTAAAAACATTTAACAATCTTTCAGTCTGGGTATCACACTAATGTGTTGTTAACTTGTGTTGAATCGTGAATGCTGTGCTAGATACATGCCAACAGCCTCATCTTGTTGATCCTCTGGAGGGATCTGGAAAGAGGAGCAGGTGTAGTGGAAGACAAGACAGTGCTGCGTTCTCGTAGAGCCTGTGGTGACCTGCAGTATTCCTCTCTCTAGTCTAGGTAACATAAACCAATTACTACTTTCACCCGTTTGTCTATAAATAGCCATGGCAAGTTATAGTACTTGAATAATGTTTTATTTTATCTGATATAAATAGCAGTCATTATTTCTAATGTCATCATTGACAAACTTTTGTAATTTTATTTTAAAACAATTGTTTTCAATGGGTGAAAACAACAAGGCATATAAACCTGCACTTTTCAGATATCCATCTTTTTTTATTAGGGGAGTTTTCATGTCATTAATAGTGATAAAGTGATCATCTTTAATCATAATCCCAGTGGTGCGCGCAGAATAGTGGAGCCGAACAGCTCATGTAATGACCAAAACAACCTTCTTCCGCATCTGTGAAACAATTCAGATCCATAGAAGGTAGAATTGTTATTCAAATGTGAATGGATGTTTTGTAATCATAGTAGGGGTGGGCGATATGACCATTATTTCACGTTATGAAAAATTTTAATTCACGATAACGATATGTACCTCGATATAGCTATTTAAATTAAGAAAAAAAGCAAGCACAACAGAACAAATAAATATGAAATACAATTTTAATTTATTCAGCTACAGTAGGCTAGGTTTATTTAACATGTAGAAAGAAATATTACAGAAATTGAATAAAGTGTATAAATAAAACACTGCATAGTCTTCATTGTATCAATCAAACATGATTAACATTAATAATGACAGACAGCAGCAGGTAAATAAGGCTGCTGTCCCTTTAAGACCGACTGCATGGATCCAATATACTGAAACACATCAGGTTTTCACTCAACTGCTCTACATTTATTTAACATATAACCGACTGTGTTTACTTGAATACTTGACACGACGGGGATTATGACATTACTGTGTTTGTATTTGACCATTCAAGCACAATAAAACAGGAAAGAGATCTGTTTTCGCGATCGCATGCTGTCGACAGAGGGGCTTTCAGTGCGCGCGCTTCGGCTGTGTGTCAGTCAACGTGAACACCGCATTGAGTTCTTTATCACTCCTTATTGCACTTAACTTTATTAATCATAATGCACGTCCCAAGTTCGCAATCGCATGCTGTCTGTGAGAGACGCTTTCTGAGTAGGTGCGTTTACATGGAGCATTGTAATCGGTTTAAAAGTTCAATCCGAATGAAAATGCTCCATATAAACATCTCAATCGGAATAAAAATGCCCAAACCGAATGAAATTATAATCAGTTTGAGAGGGGTTGGATAAACCTTTCTATAAACCGAACAAAATAAAAATTCTGCCATGTAAATGCTTTCAGAATGCAAAATGACGGTGACAAAATCGAACTGTATAACTGAGTATAACTGAAACAACACATTTATTAAATACACTGAAGGAACTAAATATAATTCAACGACTGGATCAAAACAGTCAGTGAAAAATCAAAATAAGCTGGCGCAGACCATACTGTCGAACAAATCCGAAACAGGTGGAAGACTTTGAAGACGGCGTACTCAAGCAAAAGTTTCCATTCCAGGTCACTAAATTCCAGCAATATACCCCGCTCCCACCAGTCCTTACTACGGACCTTCATCCACACGCTTCTGCTTTTCGGAGGAGAGAGGGTTAGTATTGAGATGCTCCTTAGACATGCAGAACCACCAAAAAGGGTAATGTGCGCATGTCACAAAGTCATTCCGATTGAAAGCGCCAGCACATGTAAACACCATATCGGATTATATACAGGTGCATCTCAATAAATTAGAATGTCATGGAAAAGTTCATTTATTTCAATAATTCAACTCAAATTGTGAAACTTGTGTATTAAATAAATTCAATATACACAGACTGAAGTAGTTTAAGTCTTTGGTTCTTTTAATTGTGATGATTTTGGCTCACATTTAACAAAAACCCACCAATTCACTATCTCAACAAATTAGAATAATTCATAAGACCAATAAAAAAAACATTTTTAATGAATTGTTGGCCTTCTGGAAAGAATGTTCATTTACTGTACATGTACTCAATACTTGGTAGGGGCTCCTTTTGCTTTAATTACTGCCTCAATTCGGCGTGGCATGGAGGTGATCAGTTTGTGGCACTGCTGAGGTGGTATGGAAGCCCAGGTTTCTT